ACCCAAGGCATTGAAGGCTGATATGCTTGAATAGTTTTCCAAATAAGCTTCACTACGCAACGAGACAGAGCATACCTTTTTCAATACGTACTTCCAAAAAAGAAAATTTATTATCAAGAAAGATGTTATGGGACAATCCAAATACCACATCAGAAACACAAGGGAATGAACCCTTGTTTATTAGTGTCCACCAAGCTCATTAATACGATACCTTTTGGGGAGGATACCCAAAAGCAAAACAGTGCGGGCTTGGCCCCAAGCGGATAATATCGTACTAATGGAACTGCTTGATTTCGAAAAATGGTATTAGAGCCTAGTTCGAGGTGATGGACCCTCATTTGATGACCTCGAGATTTGAGATCTGCGTTTGTTTGGCAAATGAGGGGAGATTGTGGTCTGTCTGGTAGATCAAAGGTGATCTACATCTGGTTTGGCGGATCAAGATATCGATGAGGGAGGACACAAAGTTTGTGGTCCATGTCTTGAGGGAAGGATTGGTATGAGATAATCCAAGTACCACATCGAAAATACAAGGCAATAGACCAGGATATTGCAACCCAAGTAGAATGCCCATTAAGCTTATAACGAGCAATATAAGCAACCCAAAATGAGCCTCCCCTAAGCAAGATAAGCCATTATAAATCGCCCAACACAGTGACATTCCAAACACATAGATTCTTTAGTCTCAGCCCTACCTCCTTAGGAGTGGTAACTATACCCCAAGCAACACTTGAAAAATCAGTACATGCTCAAACAAACAAAAAATTGAGCAGAATCGAATAAATGAATGGGTAGAATAAGTCAAGATTCCCAACATCCTTTAAGTTTTGATCTCTCCAAAGACCTCACATTACTTGTAATTTTATCAACTAGAAGCACACAATCTCATTATAAATCAATCGTCATGCAATAGAAATCCTATCAAGTATCAACTAGGTAGAGTCGACGTGAGTTATCATAATCCCAAGAACTCAATCAATGCATTAAATATTAAGACTACACTAACAAAAATACATTACTGTTCACTAATGAGATAACTTCTGATCATAGGTCCTCATCCAAGCCTCATGGATTTGTAGTATCTCATGGTCAATCTTATGCTCAGCTAGCTGTCGTTGTCGTTCATCCATCTATGCTCTCCAAGCTCGAGTCTCCTCTAGCTCATCTATGTGATCATGTTGATATGCATCCCATCTCTACTAACTAGTCTAGTGGTAGAGGTCGATGTTCTTCTCTTCTATCTGCAAAACCTCCCAGAGAGATGCCCCATCTCCTCCGAAGCCATCATCATTCCTTGGTGGTGCTAATAGAGATGGTCCAACCACCTGTATTGTTCTAAACCTATCCGGTAGGGGTGGCTATACGGTCCGGTCCGGTTAAATTGGACCAAATTGATCCGGTCCCAGTCCGGTCTTTTCGGGAATATAAGGACCAAAGATTGGATTGGATACAGTCCGGTCTTGATCTAGTCCGGTCATGACCCGGTCCGGTCCCAATTTTATCTTGATTTTAGGTGTTGGGGGTCTCTTATCCGGTCTTTATCAGGTTTTTTACCTCAAATCTAATCCCGAATATGAGATTGCATTGTTTGCTATCCGGTCCCAGCCCGGTCCCGATCCGGATTATACGGTCCGGTTTCGGGTAAAACCAAACAGTCCGTGACCAAATAGCCAGCCCTACTATCCGGTATCGGATCTCTTCCTCTAATGAGCCTAACAGTCGAATTTCCCGCATCTTTCCAAGCAGAATGGTGGGGCATGTCTACAATCTGATGTAGTATAGCACCCGAGCCATAGTATCGGTAAAAATCCTCCCATTCCTCCAACCAAAACACCTGCGTCAACATTGGATTTGATCATTCCTTCCCCTGGGTGACTCCATCCTTAAGGCATGCCTGGTCCTTGTCTCTCTTATAGCGCCTCTTGGTATTGGTGATAATCATTGAGGAAAGCACAAGCTCGCATTAAAATTTCCTCTTCCGCAAGCTTTGCTCAATTAAACAAGTGTGCCTTCGGCATATTAGTTTCTCCCTAGCTATCCATGAAATTCTCTTTCCCTCTCCTTTTTGTACCCACCAGAACTGCATGATGATGCCATGGACATTGTCAATAATACCCTCGGTACCCTAAAGATTGACATAATATAAGTCAGTTGAGCTTGGGCCACAAACTTAATCAAAACCTCTGGTGCCGCTAAAGACATATTTCTTTCCTTACACCCCGAGAGCTTCTTTCTCATGCTTTCCTTGATGGTAGTAAACAAATATTTTTGGACCTTCCCACCTTGGTGGCTAAACCAAGGTACTTATCATACTTATCCACAGTCTTTGTATTCAAACTCGAGCTCACTTGGAGAGGTTGGTGCAATTTCACACTTGTCCCGACCCAAACTTTTGATTTGTCAAAACTTATCATCTAACCAGATTCTTTTTCATATTCTCTCAGGATTTGTTTCAGCTCCCGACTTTCTTGAGGTGTGGTCTAGGAAAAAAAGATAGAATCGTCAGCGAAAAAAGGTGGGAGACTGCTAGAGCACCCCTAGCGACGTGTAATCCATGGATACTCCTTTCCCGCATTGATTTTGTGGTATAAGCCGACAAACCTTCTTCCACAAGAAGAAAAAGGTATGGGTAGAGTGGATCTCCTTGTCGTAGCCCCATATTGGGGGTGAATCTAGGAGAACAGTGGTCATTCACAAGCACCGTATAAGAGACAGATGTCACACACATCATCACCACTTGAATCCATCGGTCTACAAAGCCCATGTTCTTCATCACACCCTTCACAAACCAACATTCCACCATATCGTACGCCTTTGCCATGTCTATTTTTGCTCCAAAGTGACCCTTTTTGTTCTTTGTCCGCTTTTTCATTGTGTGGAAACACTCGAAGGCCTCCATGATGTTGTCTGCAATAAAGTGATGGGGGACAAAGGCACTCTATTCCGTGGATATCACAACATCCAACATGCTCTTCATTTGGTTAGCAGAGTCTTCACCATAATCTTGTAGTGCACATTACATAAACTAATTGGCTAAAATTCCTTAGGCGCTTTCGGTTCTTGACCTTAGGAATTATGGCAATCAATGTATGATTCAAGTTTGTGGGGAGACTCTCATGTTCGAGTATGTGGAGGTCTAGAGCTATGATATAATCACTAATTATAGGCCAGAATTTCGAAAAGTACAGTTCTGACATTCCATCTTTGCCCGGTGCCTTTCTCTTCCCCATTTGTTTGAGCACTACAAATATCTCCTCCCTAGTAAACGAGCGTAGTAAGCCATCATTGGCCTTCGTTGAACTCGAATGCCAACCGAATCAAGAACAGGTGTATAGGTAGGTTGCTCTCCTCCCTTGAATAGTTGGCCAAAGAAGTCCACAAGACACCCAAACACCCCTTTACAGTGCCCCGACTCATCCTTCAGTTTAGTGATCGTATTTATTTTACGTCGAGCGGTATCCTTCCTGTGAAAATAGTTTGTACTTTTATCGCCATCCTTTACCCAATCTGCACGAGATTGTTGTTTCCAAAAAAGTTCCTCATCACAGTCAATATCTTCAAGCTACGAGCGGGGTTGGTTACCTTGCAAGAACACTGAATCCATCTTTTGTAGCCTCTCAAGAGCTCTAAGCTCCTTTTTTATTCTCTCTTTCTGTTTTCTAAAGTTAGAGGAAGTAGCTCTACTCCAACTATCCAGCTGATTTTTTACATCTTCGACCCGGGAAAAGAAGTCTGTCGTTCCCATCTTCCAAGCTTCTTGTACTATTCTCGGGAAATCAATGTGTTTTGCTTAGTGTGTTTCAAACTTAAATGACCATCCCCACTTTATCTCTTCATCATCCCTTCCCATACTATCACAATAGACTAGTCAATGATCAGACCGACTTGCGCCACCAGCCACTACTCTTGCGGTATCAAACATCTCTCTCCAAGCGTCATTGGCCACAAACCGATCTAAACATTCCTCGATGTAACCCCCCATCCACCTTCGGTTTTCCCATGTATAGCGGTATCCTTCGTACCCCAGATCGTGCACTCTGATGTCCACCATACACTCCAAAACATCGACCATCTCATGTCTCGGACCTATACTGCCGCCATGCTTCTCTTTAGTAGAGTACGTGGTTAAAGTCACCACCGCACAACCACAACCCTGTCCATTGATCTGCTAATGACCGCAGTAGCTCCCACATATGTATTTTTCTCCCCTTTCCCGCCATCCATAAATCCCAATGAACCTCCACACCTTGCCATTCTCCTCCTCAACTCGATCATCCATATGGTGTTAAGATCCCCCATAACCTTGAGCTTTACTTCTTCCTACCACCACATATATAATCCCCCCGCCTTGTCTCCATTTGAATCGTCTGCCGGCAAACATTTACTATTCTCGAAACCGAAAGTAGTCATGGTAACCTCATTTTCAGTCTCAAATTGTTTAGTGTCCATTCAGAGACCACCTTTGGGGAAACCTGTCACAAAAGCGAATTTAGGGATCTAACTGCTCGTGTGTTTCCCACGCCACAACAGTTATAGCTAAGAAGTGTAATTTATTACCCAAAGGGGATATGGTCCCTGCACCATCAACTTTTGATGAAAGCACACCTAGATCCGCACATCCTTGTACTTGCTCCTCTCTTTTCAGTTGATCTCCCTATTCTAGTCCATTTCGTTCTCCAACCACCTTCTTCCCTCGGTTCACCGGTTTGTGATTCTTCTGTTCCTGCCCATTATCCGTTACCATGGTAACATGGCTCTCATGGCCAGCTACAGTCTCCCTTTCATGCTTCATGTCCTTATTCAAGACCTGGTACTGATTTCGCCTGCCCACATTTGCATGAGCATTGAATGCTCCCTATTTCCATGTCATAGGACTTACGAACATGGCAACATTCCTTCTTTCTTACCATCATCCAATCACCATACATATGATCCATCTTGTTCTCCTTCGAGGGCGTTTCAAGGACTATCTCCACCGTTTCTTGTGTTGTACCCTTGGCCTAGGCTACTCTACCGTCACACTGGTCAGTAGATTTCTCATACTTTTCACATTTCGTCCATATTCTTTCCATTCCCTCATATTGTATGTGGTACTTAACCCCCTGAACCTTGTACTTTGTAAGCAATGGCTTTGTGAGGTCAACTTCCACACATACTCTAGCATAATTACCTCTTGCTCCTTCTTCTGTGGCCCTATAATCTGGAATAGGGTTTCTGATTAATCCACCAAATCTCATGGCTGCTTCTTTATTGAAAAACTCTATTGGTAAGTTTGAGAGCTGCACCCACACCATAGTGGATCTCACCTCGACCTTCCATGGATTGAACCCCTTATACCATATCATTACCGTAAGATAGGTGTCTCCAAGAGGCCACAATCCACCATTCACAGCCCTTTCATGATCTTCTTGGTGTCAAAATCTTACTAGCTAGAAACCATTTTTTAGGTCATAAGTCTGTAGCTCACCAAGTATTGCCCACAGTAAGTTTAGGCTATGAGCGAGTTGCTGGTAGGGTACTTTACTTCCCAAACCCTGCACTACCAACAATAACCTCCATTCTCTTCGCCATTTTTCCCCCCACCGCCGTAAACAAAGCCGTTGGACACCTTGGATCCTCCTCCATCTCATCTATCGTGTAATCTTCCTCCTTTTCCGTTTGAGCCACATCCTTGGAGTCGGAATCTGCAACATACCAGCTATCTTGTTTGAAGCTCTCCTTGAACAGTCGACTGCGCTCTGTCCATCCACATAGATTGACCCGCTGGGTGTAGGTGTGTTGCTTCCTCTTCCATCTCTTCTGCTGTTATATCCTCCACAACCACGATTTCGGTTTCCAGGTCTAGGGCATGAACCATTTTCTTTGCTTGCATAGTTTCCTTCTCTCTCTTATTGTTTGGGGAGGAGGACACGTCCGTAGGCCGCCGGGCTCCACTCATTGTGTTTGGTGGCTTCTCTTGACGCCGACGCTTGTGGTGACGTTGTCGTCCCCATGAGATATCGTAAGTTCGTAACCCTAGCTCAGTGCACTTTGCTTAAGGTACATTTACTAGTGGGAGACTTAATCAATTTATAAGTGTTTGTCTCCATGAGAATTGTGCAAAGGATTTTATATTTTATATTATGAGTTTTTTTTTGTAATACTATATTATGTAAATTTAAATATGAATATTTGAATATTGGTGTTATAAGTTGAATTTAGATATGTTTCATATTTTTATTATATGTGTTGCTAATTAAGCATGAACTATATTTTGATATAATGCCAAATGCAGTTTGATATAATTTATATATTTGGGCACAATATAATAATTTTTACACATATTCGTACTAATTTAGACTAATGGATATTCTTTCAAGCTGCAGGAGTGAGCTGCTTAAATGGAGCAGGAGGAAATTTGGAGATCTAAGAAGGAAAATTGAAAAAATCGACAGGCTGCTTAAGACTTTCAAGTATAAACCTAAAACTGCCATTGTTTTGGAACAAAGGAAGGCTCTGGAAGTGGAAAGGGGTGAGCTGATCCAACAGGAGGAGGAGCTATGGCTGCAAAGATCCAGAATTGATTGGATGAAAGGCGGGGATAAAAACACTAAATTTTTTCACGCTAAAGCCTCTGCAAGAAGGAAAAGAAATACTATTAAAGTGATAAGGAATGAAGAAGGGAGGGTGTTCAAGGGACAGAAAGAAGTCATGGAATGTATACTGCACTACTATCAGAATCTATTCTCAAAAGGTAACATCCCAGGCTCTGATTCTATATTAAATGCTATCAAATGTAAGGTCACCCCTGCCATGAATGAGGGGTTGATACGGCCCTTAAGAGAGGAAGAGATCAAGCTGGCCCTTGACCAAATGAGCCCAAATAAGGCTCCAGGATCTTATGGTTTCTCTGCAGGTTTTTTTCAGAAAAATTGGAACTCTATTGGCCCTAAAGTGATGGAAACAGTGATCGAATTTTTCAATAATGGGAGCCTTCCTACAGAATTAAATCATACTCTCATTGCCCTAATCCCCAAGGTGAAGTCCCCTAATACTGCTAAAGACTTCAGACCTATAAGCCTTTGTAGAGTGGTGTACAAAATCATTTCCAAAGTTATGGCCAACAGGCTTAAATTGATCCTTGATGAGCTGATTTCGGAGGAACAAAGTGCCTTTGTCCCAGGAAGAAATATTACTGACAATGTTATTGTTGCATTTGAATGTTTTCAGTTTATGAAACAGAGAGAGAAAGCAAAAGATGGCTATTATGCGGCAAAACTGGATATGGCCAAAGCCTATGATCGTGTTGAGTGGGATTATCTTGAGAAGATGATGAGGAAACTAGGTTTTGATGAAAGGTGGATTAAGCTGGTTATGCAATGCATCACTACTGTGTCTTATTCAGTTCTTGTGAATGGCCACAAATCTGAAAGTTTCTATCCTACTAGGGGCCTAAGACAGGGCGACCCACTTTCCCCCTACTTGTTTCTTATTTGTGCAGAAGGGTTAACAAGTCTTATCAAGAAGGCTGAAGGGGAAGGCTTGCTGCATGGTATTCAGATCCGGAAAAAGGCCCCCATGATTTCTCATTTGATGTTTGCGGACGACTGTGTGATTTTTGGAAAAGCAACTCTGCAGGAATGCGATCAGCTCAAAAATATTCTGAGAATATATGCTAACGAGTCGGGACAGCTCATTAATTTCAGTAAATCGGAGTTATCTTTCAGTAAGAATGTTCGTATGAGCAGAAGACTTGAGATTTGCGGCACTTTGGGAGTCAAAGAGGTGGGAAAGCATCCCAAATACCTGGGATTACCTACTGTTGTTGGAAGGACCAAGAAGGCCCTATTTGAAAGCATCAAGGAGCGAGTAAGGAAGAAACTGAAGGACTGGAAGAACAAGACTATATCTCAAGCTGGTAAGGAGATCCTGATTAAAGCCGTTGCTCAAGCACAATGCCTATATCCTATGTCTGTCTTCATGATTCCAGATGGCACTTTAAAAGAAATTCAGAAGCTTATAGAAAACTTCTGGTGGGGACAGAAGGGGAAAGAGTATAAGATACACTGGTTGGAGTGGGATGAACTGTGCGATGATAAAGAGGAAGGGGGGATTGGTTTTAGGGACCTCAGGGCCTTCAACTATGCCATGCTAGGAAAACAAATCTGGAACATTCTCACAAGACCTCAATCTTTGATGGCCAGAGTTCTAAAAGCCAGATATTTTCCTAAGACAGATATTCTAGAAGCAAAATTGGGATACAGACCGAGTTACATTTGGAAAAGTATCATGGGAGCAAAGGAGAAAATTGAAGAGGGCTTCAGATGGAGGGTTGGGGATGGCAAATCTATCAACATTTGGAAGGATGCCTGGATACCAGGCAAGAGTTTCCATCAGGCAGACCCCCCTACTGAGGGCGATTTCCCAGACATCAGAGTTTGTGATCTGTTTGACGAGGTCTTCGGTGGCTGGGATAAAAGCAAATTACAAAGACTCTTCTCATCAAATGATCAAACTCTCATTAATAACATCCCCATCCGATCTCCCTCAGGAAAGGATTCAAGGGTTTGGCTGCACACTGAAAATGGGGCCTATACTGTAAAGTCAGCATATAAGTTCATTAGAGGCCACCAACATGACACGATGAACCGGATTCATAACAGACTTTCGGAGGACCCTGAGTTTTGGAAGAGTTTGTGGAACATCCAGATTCAACCTAAGGTGCGAATTTTCCTTTGGAGGATAAGTAAAAACATCTTACCTGTGGGGGTAAACGTGGAGGAATGGATCGAAAATGCTGCGCCGGAATGTCCTTTCTGCAACCTTCCAGAATCTCAAATTCATGCCCTCCGGGATTGCGAGTGGATCAGAAGGAGATGGAAAGACTGCGAAGTAAAAGAGCTTTATGAAATGGGTGAAGGATTGTCCTGCACTGAATGGCTGGCACAAGTGTTCAAATCAGTCTCGACAGAGAAAATCCAAAGATTCTGTGCAATTTTGTGGTTCTTATGGAAAGAAAGATGCAATCACAAGTACAATAATCTGAAATTAGAGGAGGAAGAGATTGTACCGACAGCGATTGGGTGGTTATCCTCTTATCTGGAAGCTCAGTCTTCTTCTCCCTCAATCTCCTCGACAGGTCAAGCCAGGAATGTCAACCCTAGTACAGAGCGATGGACCCCCCCCCCCCCACCAGAAGGAGTTTTCAAGCTGAATAGCGATGCGGGTGTTCTGCAGCAACAAGGAGTTGGCTTAGGAGCTATTATTCGCAACTGGAGGGGTGAATTTGTGGGGGCTATGACGAAGAAGGAAAAGGGGATATGCCAGCCTATTATTGCTGAAGCGAAGGCGATGGTGATGGGATTAAGAGAAGCAAATCGCAGGTCTCTGAGCCCTCTCGTGATAGAATCCGATTGTCAAGCTTTGGTGAATCTACTGGAAAAAGGAGAGGCGGATTTCACTGAGTTGGGAATTTGGTGTGAGGAGCTGCAAGAACTGGCGTTGATGAATGAGAGGATCTCGGGCGATAAGATCAAGTGGAGATTCTCTCCGAGGAAAACGAATTCTATTGCCCATTGGTTAGCCCACTCTGGGTCGGGCTGGAACCATCAAGTGGTTTGGAGTGGATAACCCACCGATCAATCTCCTATGTATGATGGAGTCCGATTTGGGATGTAGGCCTATGGGCCAGAACTGAAGTTTCTCTAATTTTATTGACCAGATTTCCGATCAAAAAAAAAACCCACTTGCTTTTTCAAACCACTGCGTTGACCATCTTGGTGGCTAGTTCTCGTTGGATCGTACTACTAACACCCGGCTGTAGTTTTCTATCTTTATTAATAGCAAGGGTTTGTTGTTTATGATTATAATTAAGATGAGATGTAAACACTAAAGGTGGGTGGGATCCATTTCCCTCGAGTCGACCTAGGCTCTCGTTTTGTTCTTGCAAAATGGGAACGTTTGTTACGTACGGCTCTTGAGTTGAGTATGTACGTATTCTTGTGTCGTTGTTTTAATACACGAAGCAATGAGGACCGCTTGGATTCTTGTGTCGCGGTGGTTCGAAGCGTATGGAAATAAAGAAACATAAGCCTCATAGCAAATACACATTGTGGATATCGAGTTGACAATCACTCACTTATTGGCAGGTCCGGATAGTATAACAACACCTTAGGTAGGGCTGGACATGCGGGCGGATCATCCGCGGGTTTGGGCCGACCCACCCGCATTTGACCCGAATTTCGTTAAGTGGGTGGGT